ATTGACCTTTGACCTACTTTTCACCATGAACTGAACTTTGCAAATTTTGCTTTCCTTTTATCTCCAAAACTGGCAGAGATAGGTCCATCGTTACTATTGAACTTGAATAGAAAGTCATATACTGGCAATCTAAATGTGACCTTGAAATTGACCTTTGACCTACTTTTCACCATGAACTGAATTTTGCAAATTTTGCTTCCGTTTTATCTCCAAAACTGACAGAGATAGGTCCATAGTTATTATTAAACTTGAATAGGAAGTCCTATACTGGCAATATAAGTGTGACCTTGAAATTGACCTTTGACCTACTTTTTATCATGAACTGAACTTTTTTTCTCTTTTAACTTCAAACTTGACAGAGATAGGTTCATAGTTATTCTTGAACTTGAATATGAAGTCATATACTGGCAAGCTAAATGTGACCTTGAAATTGACCGTTGACCTACCTTACGATGAACTTAAATTTGATTGTACCATTTTTAGTTATATATATTTTTTGCATATTTTGAACATTCTTGTTGATTGCATTTTTACAGCTTGTCAAGCACAAGACTGGTGGCTGTGTCCCTTATTTTGTGTATGTAGGGGTCTATACGAATGCGCTTGCTCCAGCTGGTGGTACAATATTCGGAGGCAGTATCGCCTCTCTGATCCTCTAGTTAGTTAACTGACCTTAGTGTCATGGGATGTACACTCCAAGCTTAAGTCTATAAATATAATTGGGTAGGGTCTACTGTCTACTCTCCTACGTGAGATAACAGTCACAATCTGCCACTCTTGTTATTAGATAGAAATGGGAAGTAATGTTAATGACAAGTACCTGAATGAGTTACACAGAGTATTGTAGCAAATTCTAAGGTAGAATTTGAGAACTAAGCAAACCTGACTTTTATCGAGGGGAAGGGAGTTGGATTTAAATACTAAAAATTTGTACAACATAATTTAAAAATTCAGGGGGGGGTTCGAGCATTAGATTTTATGGGTTATTGGCTAGAATTTTTATAGGTTTTTACTTTGAGGAGACCTTTCATAAGACTATATTTACTCAATTCTTCATACATGTATAATTTTTTTATGAATCGTCCAGTTTTCATGCCCCAAGGGAATATTTAATCTCGTAATGAAACTACTTTTACCAGGTATTTTCAATGCATAGAATTATTGTGAATAAATGTACATGTTTCCCAGCCTTCACACCAATTAATTCTAGGAAATATGGTCTGGTGGAATTCAACTAGGATGCTGAATAATTGATTTACAACCTTGTTAATGATGCCAGAAAATTTGTTACTAATTAATTCATTTTTATGTTTACCTCATGGCGCAATGTTACCAGCAAAAAATTAGACAAGCTAATTTATTTTCATGTTTTCATAGAAATAAATCCCCTTTAAGAACCAATAAGGTGTTAACTAATTTTCATTGATTGCTTAAAAAACTGTTATTTTATTTTGCCTTTCTGTTAACTAAAATATATATGGTAATTACTAATAGCATATTGTTTTACAAGTAGTAAACTTAAAAGTACTAATTGGTATGGCTTTAAGCCATGTTTTTGATTTTTTTTATTCTGTGCTTTATTTTCAAAGCTGTAGGATTATATATCACTTGCAAGTGATTCTAACATAAAAGCTTGGATGAGATCAAATCTAATTTGTTTTCCCTCACTGCCAGCAGTCTCCTTCCTCTGTGTGGTGTGGATAGTGTAAACTATTGATTACAAGAAAGTGTTCACATCCATAGATAGAGGCTTATAAAGCTCCATAGTGGAAATTGCATTCAATATGAAGCTCACATTTCAAAAACACAATTTGCCCAAATTATGCTAGAAGGAATGTGCTGGCTGTCTCAAAAAGTTGCTAGTCATTTTAAGTAGAGATCTGTATAGTAGGTCTCCTTTGACCCAAGGTAGTGCTGGGGCAGCCACTAGTAGTCAACACTGGCCTAAGACGTGAGACATAGCTTACTGTTCTTGCCACAAAACTGGTTCAGTATCCTGATTTCAGGTGATTACCACAGCATGATTTATCTTTGATATTAAAGATAGGACCATCTTTGAACCCAAGATATTTTGAAAAATGTTTCTCAGAAAGCCAGTTTGAGGTCACTGATTCTGTACTAAGATAACACTGGGGAGTTTCACGATGTCATCTCACATCTCACACTCAGGGTGTGAGAACCTTATTCTGCCTCATTTTCTTTCAAAATGGCAGTTTTCATAAACTGACAGAATTATGAAATGTCTGTTGATAAAAAGAATTGGAAGCAAGAAGACATCAGGCTGTCTGTAGATCCCCTTAGAAAAAAAGAAATTAAGTCTGTTACACCAAAATCTCCAGAATGTGGAAAAAATGGGGTTAAAGGAATATCTTATTGTGTTGATGTTATTATGGTTTTCAACTCACAGTCATGTTTATTAAGTTTAGTTATACAGAAAGTGCAGAGGTTATTTATCACTAATCAGTTTACAAGTAATTCGAGGCTCGGCTTTGTGTATCAGATTTTCACCAGTTATTGTGAGTTGGCAGAAAAAAAGGATTTATAAATGAACTTTTTAAATTTTCACCCATTGATAAGGACATTTGCCGTTGTAAAAAAAAAAAAAACATGAATCACTTGGAATTATTTTGAATGTAAGAAAATGGTTTCAAAGTATGTTATCTCCCATCTGCTGGTCAAAGTTGGTGAGTTGGAAAGTAGCATGGCAGACAGAAAGGTAATTGATAGAGTTATACTAACAAATCAATTCATCCAAAATTTACATTATATGAAGGTAACAACTAATTTTAGGTACTGGATGGAGATGGCAGGAAATGAAGTGCTTCAGACATGCTGAAAACTTTTCAGAATGGCCGGACATCTGGACTGGCAGTAATGAAAAATTTGCCGTCTTCAAACTGATGAGTACATATACGTAAGATACAGGTCAAGTTCAAAAATCAGCTTGATTGGACCATTTTTACCTCCACCAAGGAGGTTACTTTTTCACCCCTGTTTGTCTGTCTGTCTGTTTGTCATCAACATAACTCAAAAAGTTATGGATGAATTTCGATGGAATTTTCAGGGTAGGTCAGAAATTGGTTAACTTAGAAGTGATTAGTTTTTAGTGGTGATCTGGATCAAAAATCAATCAATAATCATAAATCAAAAAACTAAGTTATGGACCGATTTTGATGAAATTTTCAGGAACTACCAGAAGTGGGCCAAGGAACAGATGATTAGTTTTTGGTGGTGTTCTGGATCAATAATCAATCAGTAACCAATCAGTAATCAAAAATAAAAAACTAAATAATTATAGAATGAAAATTTAGGGCTGAAACAGCATTGGGTGGAGATTTTGTTGCCTTGGCGGAGGTCTGCGCTCTCGGAGTGCTTTTCTAGTTACAAAAGTAAGTTATGCTTTTTTTTTTTTGCATATTTTATCCACTGTTATACAGATAACATGAAAACCATGTCATATTTTGCTTTTAATCTTGTAGGACTAATTCATAGGTTTAATATACAGATCAAATTGGAAAATAAGCTTGATTGGTTCAGTTTTGGTGAAGTTATGCCTATTTTTGTATATAAGTGGTTTTACCTCAGATTCAATTCTTAAGCATATTAACAATCGCTGGCGGTACACATGGTTTTAGTCCTGCTTCTCCTCCTAGACCACAAGGGCCTGCGTACCCATCTCTTGGATTTAGGTCACCTATAATCTCAACTCGCTCCACGTAAATTTTGGGCTTTGTCGGTGCTGGGGTCTACGTGTGGCATTCTTTGCAATGCACCATTGGCAAAATTAAATGCTAATTATCTACCATACCGAAGGAATTATGGGAAAAGTCATATGTGGAGATTTCAAATATGCCCTTGGATTTGACCTTTGACCTTTATTTCAAGGTCAAACGGGCCAAAATTAAAAAAAAAAACGAAATTTTTTACGAAAAAAAAATTATTTGCGCTAATATTCAGAAACTAAGTAGACCTAACTTATAATGTTATTGGCAGGTATTACCCTTCAGGTCATCTTTCATGTCCGTGAGTTTGGGGTCAATCGGTATATTTTCACGGGAGTAGCAGCCATAAGATACCGAAACTGAAAACTGTCTCTAATTCGGGAACCGTTAATGCTAGAGACCTATTCTTTTTTGCATTTTGTAGAGCATGTCAAGCCCAATACTGGAAGTTGTCTCCGTTTTTTTTTATTTCCATACGGTTAACGAGTTATGCTGTATCAAAAAGTACATTGTGGTGGTGAAAGCAAAATATACAATACGGTAATGTGTAATAAATTTTGAACCTCTGGAAAATAAAACATAAGGCTTGGCATTGCAGACAACTTCTGGTCAAAAATGACATTATTTCATGAAATTTGAACATCTGGAACTTCTGAGCACCTCAAATTTCAAGAATTTTAACCAAAATGACATTTTCTCTATTTCAATTAATTTCTTTTGTAGGAAATTTATGGCACATTATTGTAATTCCAAAATTAACATTTATTCCCTTCTATCTCCAAAACTGGCAGAGATATGTCCATAGTTACTATTGAAGTTGAATATGAAGTCATATACTCGCAATTTAACTTGAAATTGACCTTTGACCTACTTTTCACCATGAACTGAACTTAGCAACTTTTCAGTGCTTATACTTTCAAAACTTCCAAAGATACCCCATAATTACTATTAAATTCGAACAGGAAGTCATATATTGGCAATCTAACTGTGACCTTAAATTGACCTTTGCCCTACTTTTCACCATGAACTGAACTTTGCAAATTTTCGTTCCCTTTTATCTCCAAAACGGGCAGAGATAGATCCATAGTTACTATTGAACTTGAACAGGAAGTCATATATTGGCAATCTAACTGTGACCTTAATTTTGACCTTTGACTTGCTTTTCACCATGAACTGAACTTTGCAACTTTTCAGTGCTTATACTTTCAAAACTTCCAAAGATACCCCATAATTACTTTTAAATTAGAACAGGAAGTCATATATTGGCAATCTAACTGTGACCTTAAATTGACCTTTGACTTACTTTTCACCATGAACTGAACTTTGCAAATTTTCCTTCCCTTCTATCTCCAAAACTGGCAGAGATAGGTCCATAGTTACTATTGAAGTTGAATAGGAAGTCATATACTGGTAATCTTACTGTGACCTTGAAATTGACCTTTGACCTTTTTTCATGATAAACTGTACTTTGCAAAATTTTGATCTTTATATCTCAAAAACTGGCAAAGATATGCACATAGTTACTATTGAACTTGAATAGGAAGTCATATACTGGCAATCTAACTGTGACCCTGAAATTAACCTTTGACGTAATTTTCACCATGAACTGATCTTTGCAAATTTTCTATCCCTTATAGCTCAAAAGCTGGCAGAGATACACCCAAAGTTGCTGTTGAACTGGAATAGGAAGTCATACACTGGCTATCTAACTGTGACCTTGAAATCGACCTTTAACCTACTTTTTATGATGAACTGCTTTTGCACGTTTTCTGGCCTTAAATGTCCAAAATTGGCAAAGAAATGCCCATGGTTACTATTGAACTTAAATAGGAAGTCATATACTGTGACATTGAAATTGAACTTTGACCTACCTTTTCACCATGAACTAAGCTTTGCATATTTTCTTGCCCCTCATATCTTCAAAACTAGCAGAGATATGCCCCAAGTTTTTTTCTTTTGTCAGCATAAATGCAACACTGACAACACATTTCAAGGAAAACCAATAAGGACATTGTCTAGAGAATCACAGGAGTGATCAATGTTAGGAAAATACAGGTCAATTTGAAAATCAGCTTGATTGTACCATTTTTAGTTAAATTTTTTTGCATATTTTGAGAACTCTTGTTGATTGCATTTTATAGAGCTTGTCAAGCACAAGACTGGTAGTGGTTTCCCTTTTTTGGGGGGTATATCCGGACAATATCCAGGTACAATATCCGGAGGCGGTATCGCCACTCTGATCCTCTAGTTTTTTTCTGCTTTTCGTCTGTAAATTTTACTTACAGCTTTGCCGCCCTTTTTGTGTTAAAAGAAAGTACTAGTAAATTATCTTACTAGTAGGCATTTGGCAAGACTTCATATTACGGGTTAGAGTGAGACATCTAGAACTTATCAGCGCATTCAGAAGAAGAACTAACAGATCCGTGCATCAAAAATGGTGGAACCACTTAAAAGCAAGCAGCCTAATACCCTGATGGTCTCCCTGCCTCCATCTTTGCAGGGGTCTAGCAATAACGTCTCAGAGCCAAGAATTAATTCGTTTAATAGCATGTGTGGAGACGGGTAGACAGTTAAGGGATTAGCCAGCTTGCTTTTAAGTGGGATCAGCCATATTTAGTCCAAGGAATAGGATCAGTTAATCATCTGTTCTGAATGTGCTCTTTAATGTTGGTGCACAAGCATCAAAACATCTTTGAACAGGAAAAGGAAATCTGAAGAGAATAGAAAGGGTCATTGTTAATTTCAAACTGAGGGAGATTAAAGAAGTGGATATTGATTGAGCAGGGATAACTTAGCCATTAGTGCTCTTATCTAAGCTTAACATTACCTCATAGGAATTTAATTATCTTTAGAATGGAATATAGTAAGGGAACATCTCAACAGCTCCAATGCTTTTCCAAATTTAAGTGTTCTTAAACAACTGCAATTCCATCTGCATGTCTAAACTGTGTTTCTCAGTGTAGAGAAAAATTGTACATCTGTGAAAAAAAGAATATGTTCTTTCCTTAACAGATGCCTTCTAAATATCAGAGCAAAATAGGACCTGCCCGAGCAAAATAGCAAGTCCTCTAAAAGCATAAGTACCCCAAGGTAAGGCTCCGTTCACATGGAAAGTCTATTTTCTAAAAATCTAAAAATCTATTTTCGGTATCTTGTGATCACAGTCTGTGCCCTGGATACCCCGCGGTGTAATTACTGGCAGCGAGTTACTTCCAAAGCTGTAATTAATTCTTGGCTGCGCTCGGAGGAGATTCTGATACCTTGACGCATGCGCAGTAGGAAATTAGAAAATAAATGGCGGTTGCTTTGAAAAATGTGTTTGTCGATTTTGTGCAACAACCACTAGCCATATTATGCGTCTGTATGCTTGAGTCGTCACAACTAAACTGATGAACTCCACAGCTTAGAGATACTACTGCGCATGCGTTAAGGTATCAGAATCTCCTCCAAGCGCAGCCGAGAATTAATTACAGCCAGTAATTACGCTGCGGGGTATCCAGGGCACAGACCGTGATCATAAGATACCGAAAATAGATTTTTAGATTTTTAGAAAATAGACTTTCCATGTGAACAGAGCCTAAAATTAGTACCCAAGCACAGCATTGGGCCATATGTCTGTTGCCTTGTTCTTGCAGCTTTATTTTTTTCAACCCAGGACTTATTTTAAATGGCAGGAGGTATGAGAAACAGCATGTTAGAGCTTTAGGTGTTTCCTAGTTGTAAAAAGTGATATTTTCTCCTCTTTCTACATCCTTGACAAAAGAAAAAGGGTTTTTGACATCTATGCCAAAGCCCAATAAAGTGGTTAGAGTGTTATCCTTTGTCATATATAAATATACTTTCTCTTAAAAAATAAACAAAGAATATGTACAAAATCCCAATACTAACCAAACTAATGTCATTCGTATATTCGATTGTCCACGCTGCTTATTAATACAGCAGCAGTGGTCTCTTGACAAGCTCTGGTTCATATGGAACATACCAAATAGGTAGATAATCAGATTTACCGTTTGTGGGTTGTAAGGCTATGATTGTGGCTACAAATTTTATATTGGGGTTTCTTAAATCATGGCTCGAGTTGTTAATGTGGGCATTTGTGCTCAAAAATCTGCTGAGGCCCAGTTTTGCAAATGCCTTATCTGTTTACTAGGCCTGACAGTAACGAATCAAAACTGTGTTCTTTATTACCATGGCCCATAGGAGCCTACGCGTGCGTCTTTTAGACGCCCCTTTACATGCGAAAACGACAAGGCCTATGCCGAGTTCGTCTTTTACTACAGAGCTTTGAGAGCCGAAAATGACATGGCTGTGTCTCTTTCGCCACTTACTGAACTCCACAGATGCGAGATTGACTCGACCCATGTCGCGTTCGTCTCTCAAATGACACTGTTATAAAACATGAAATAGGCATAACGTGTGATTTTCGCAGCTGAATAAGTAGACCCTTATAACGAAGTTGACGTAACTTGAGAGTCATGTCGCTCAACTCTTACAAACCTCCAACAAAATCTATCTCCACACAGACGCGCGCGACATGTACTATTGGACATGGGTCAGTTGAAAGCGACATTAACCTAAATGGCTCATGTTACTTTCAGCCAATTAATTTGAAACAGAAGGACCGTCTTAAAACCCTTTATATTTGAATCCTTGAAAAGGCCTTGTCGTTTTCGCATGTAAATGGGCGTCTAAAAGACGCACGCGTAGGCTCCTATGGGCCATGGTACTTTATAAAACAAACACATTCATGTGTGCATGCACACACACATAGTGGGATATACTTATATACTAGAAATGTTAAGTATAATGTGTTGGTGTTCATTTCTGTAGAGTGGAAATAGCACATCATTGGATTATATGCCCAGCAGTCTCTATGGAGAGTTGAGAGGGCTAAAAGATATATAAATATTATGAAATGAGCTGATGCCAAAAACCGGGGGGATTTGTATGATTTTAACATATAACTTTTACAGTAAAAGATAATAAAGAGGCCACCAATGGTCTCCATTATGTCAGAAATGGGTTCCTTGTCACTTAATTTCTTATCATCTTTCAGCCATGCATCCTCTACCATCTTTCTCTATCTTGACTCCAAGTTTACCACCCCAGTTCCTTCACTTTGGCTTCGGCATTTCTTCTCCATGTTGTTGGTGTAAGGCAACCCGTCTTTCTCTCTCCCTCTGGTCCCATGCTTATGTTCTGCTGTTCCAAACCCTAACTGTAACACTTCATGATGTAATTGATATAGTAGCTGTAATGAAGACATTCAGCACAAGCTACAGAGTAAGATTGTTCACATCCAGGCTCAGTACTATCAAACTGTTCATGGTGGAGGGGATATGACCCTGATGACCATTTTCTTGTCCCCTTTTAGTGAGATATGCTAATCACATTTCTAGGCAAAAAGAAAAAGGAAAGAAATGAAACGGAAATTTGAAACATCATATTTGCATAATGTAAGCTTATTACTAGTAAGCTAATGTCTGCATGGATGGAAATTGTGGCTGTGAATTTTTTTCTTTCAGCCCAAGGAACATGTATTCCTCAGCCTAATTTGTACCACAAAATGCACCATTTACCTCTCCAACCAGCCTGATGAAATACGAAGCCCACACTGGGATAGCCTAAATGTTTAAAGGTCATATAAAACTTAATAAGTTACAATCTAAATATATGACTCTTCTGTATAATTTTGTTTCCAGGTCAGATGTAATCATGAGGTTAGAGGTCACCATGGAAGTAGTAGGATCTGAGCGGCCAGTGCATTGTTGGTCAGTAGACGGGGCATGTTTGGCAGTGATGAGGGAGTGGTCAATGTGGACAGTGTAAGATAACTGATATTTAAGCAAGGTAACTTTTAAAGGCAGTGACAAGGTTAAATGTAGACTGTTATTTGGCAAATGTACTACGGTAAACACAGTAGAGCCAGGTTTCAAGGTTGTATGTTAGTATACTAGTATATGAAGTGAAATGGCCTCTTTGTGTAACATTTCCTTGTCAGTCTAATGAAATGTCAGGCACATGAGTTTTGTCATAAACAAAATAACGGGAGGTCTCCTTGGTTAAGACTTAATTGAAAACCTGAGAATTGCTACAAATACCTTTGCATAAATACACAGTGCTCATTTATTACAAGGCAACTTCAGTAATTACTCTATTTTTGCAATGGGCAAACAAGGCAGCAAAGCTGTCAAATGTACAGACAAAAAGCAGGAAATAACAAAATAGGCTACTGTCAATTCTGATGCAAAAGTACATTATGTTAAACTGCAAATTCAACATCAAATTTTAATTATGCTCAACAGGTAATACCAATGTAAGTAAAATGTATAACAAGCGTAGGGCTTCAGGCCCATGGGAGTTCACGTTCACACTTTGAAAATGTATAACTTCCAGAAAAAGAAGCCAATTAGACTGCCTTTTAAACTCAGGCTGCATTTTAGTCCTGTATTTCTTTTTTGAATGTTTGGCAATCATAAGTAACATGGTTTTCCCATAATGGTCATCATGGCAGCAGCACCCAAAATTGTGTATTCTTCTATTCTGATGCAATATTACATAATGGTTAACGTCAAATGTTAATAATAAAATATACGTCTCATGTATTTTCAGAAAATGTGACTAGCATGGGTCTTCAAGCCTGTGGAACTTCAAAGTCACACCTTGAAAATGCCAATATGTGAAAAAATTAAATTTTCACAAAAAAACTGTTTAACTGGCAGAAAGAACTACAGACTGCATTGCCTACTGAAGCTGTATTTTAGTCCCATGCTTCTTCCCTGTAAGTTTGAGAACAGTAAATGGTTTTTCTTAAATGGTCATGATGGGAGCAGTGCCCAAAATAGGTTTTTTTTCAAATTTTGGTGCAATATTACATAACTTTTAACAGCATAATGACCATCAATTTTTAATAATAAAATATTAGTATCATGGATATTCAGAAAATGTGACTAGCAAAGGTCTTCAGGCCCATGGAACTTCAAAGTCACAACTTGAAAATGCCAAAATGTAAACAAGACAGCACTGTTCTGAAATGGTTTTTTCCATTTTTAACAATTTTTAACATAAAACAAAATTAACAGTTTACTGCCATTTTTATGTACAGACACAGATGTGTCTGTACATATAGCCATCACCTGCGTCTGTCGTCGCTGTCGTTGCCGTCGTCGCCGTCGCCGTGCACTTTTACCGATAACACGATAAGTGGAAAACCGTTTTTTCTTTTGGCTTGAAAGTTACAGAACTGATGAATATTCATAATAAGCAGGTCAAGTTCGAAAATCAGCATGATCGGGCCATTTTTGGGGAATTTATGCTGTTTTTTCACTTTTTTCAGCATTTATGTAGCACCGATAACACGATAAGTGGAAAACCGTTTTACCTTTTGACTTGAAACTTACAGAACTGATGAATATTCATAATACGCAGGTCAAGTTCGAATATCAGCATGATCGGGCCATTAATATGGAAGTAATGCAGTTTTTTCACTTTTTTCAACATTTATGCAACACCAATAACACAATTTTTGAAAAACCGTTTTACCTTTTGGCTTGAAACTTACAGAACTGATAAATATTCTTAATATGCAGGTCAAGTTCGAAAATCAGCATGATCAGGCCATTTATATTGAAGTTATGCAGTTTTTTCACTTTTTTCAGCATTTATACAACACCGATAACACAATATTTGAAAAACCGCTTTACTTTTTGGCTTGAAACTTACAGAACTGATGAATATCTATAATACGCAAGTCAAGTTCGAAAATTGGCATGATCAGAGCATTTTTATAGAAGTTTTGCTTTTTTTTT